ACAATCGATATTTAATTTTGAGTCACTTTTCTCTGTTACTAAATAATTGGGAACCCAGAGCACACAGAATGATTTTAATATTAATCTGAGCTAAACTCATTTAGGAAGAGAAATCTGTTGCAAATAAGATCGTATAAGAATCTTAAGCAGATGTCTTTGAGATGACCACTGTTTTAGACTTGCCTTAAAGAAGAAATAAGAAATAAGAAATAAATAATAAGAAATAATGGCTGGAGAGAGGAAGAGGGAGAAATTAGGAAGCTGTTTCCTGGGGTCTGGGTTATGAAAACCTGAGAGAGAATAAAAGGCCTGGAGCCTGTGGAAGGTGTTGGATGAATTTGAGAATTTTTTAAGGTAAAATTAGTAAACCTTAGTCAGGGACTATTTGTTAGTGAGCATAAAGCAAGAGAGAGGTCCAGGGATGCTCCCAGGCTTGTGACTTGAGTGATGGGGGGGTGGGTGGTACCATTTGCTAGAACAGGCAGTACTGGAAGAACAGCTTCAAAGGGTAGGGGACAGAGATGAAGAAAGGGCTCATATTTTATGTGCTGAGTTTGAAGTGTCTGTGGGATGCCCAGGTGAGTTGGAAAGAGTTGGGGGCTGTGGATGCATTTTGACTCATCAGTGTTTGGGTGCTCAGGGGCGTAAATGAATTTCCTCACGGGAATGATATAAAATGAGAAGATGGAAGGCCTGAGGTTAGAAGTGTGGATGAACTAAACTTTGGTGTAGGCACAGAAGGAGGAGCCCACAAATGTGACCAAGACCCAGAGCCAGAGAGGCAGGAAGAGTGGTCAGTATGTAACAAATGCTACAAAGAGGTGCTTTAGATAAGCAGTAAGGAGGAGGAGGATGATCTTGTCTGTAAGTCGGTGCCATTGTCTTTCTGTAGAAGCCCATCTTGGTAGGTTGAGACTGCACGGAAGGTGAGAAAGCAGCAGACTGTGGTATGTTGTGAGGAGCTTTTCAGGGAAGAAGAGAAGAGCAGCCAGCAGGTAGAACAGGGGAGGAAACCTGAAGGAACTCCTCTTGCTTTGTTTTGTAGTTTTTTCTGTGAAGTCAGAGGCAAGGTCATCTAACAGGAGTAAGGGAGGTGATAAGGGTTTAGTAGGAGGCTCAAGGAGAATGGTCAAAGTATGGCATAGTAGCTGAGAAGACCGGTTAGGTACCAAAGTCAAGCAAAAGACAGCAGTGTTTCATTGAAAGGAATGAGACAGGGTACCATGTACTACGTGAACTTGTTTTGCTCAGTAGCCCCATTTAGTAGCAGAGAAATTGAGTGCAGGGTTCATCCAGGCTGGGCAGATGAAACGGAAGGATAAGGGAACTAGGTTTTTACTGGAAAATAATTAACGTGATCACTCACTGGGTTTATGTTCAGGTAGACAAGAAGGGACAAGGTGGAATCTATCCATTTTTCTCAGTCTTCTCAGCTCTCATCCTCATCCAGCTCACCATCATCTCTTTTGCCGTAGTTTTCTAAACTTATCCCTAAATCGACTTGTGCTCCCTACAAACTATTCTCGCTGCAACCAGGGTGATCTTTTAATAATTTAAATCTGATCGTGCCCTATCCCTGCCTACAGCCCTTCAATGGCTTCTTACTACTTTTAGGATAAAATCTCAGTCTTTAATATAGGGTCCACTAGCCCCTCTCTTCATCTTCATCTTGCACCATTTTCACCTCTGTGTTCCTCGCTACCACGGAGTGTTGATGTTTCCTCTGCTCAGAGCATTCTTTCTTTCCCAATTTGTGTCTTCAATTCTTACTCATTCTTCAGTTCTTAGATGTAATATCACTTCTTTGTGAAATCGTTTCCTGACTCCCTTTAGGATGTAACACTCCTCCCCCCAGTATTTCTTTATTATAATTATAATAAATTATAATTGTTGGTGAAATTTTGTGTTTTTTCCTCCATAATAGAAGCTTTGTGAGGAATAAGATTACGTCTAGTTCACAGTTGTGTTCCTAATCCTCACCACAGTGCCTCACCCACAGTAAGCACTCCATGAATTTTTGTTGAATTAATGAATAAGATAGTTAAGGAGTTGGATGTCTTAGTCTGAGGTGTGGATGCCTGAGGTGAGAGAACGAATTTAGTAGTAGAGATCGAAAGCTGGAAGGAGATGAGATTGTAGCCAGAGTAAGACGTTGGGAATTGAAGATTTAGAGGTGGATAGTTTCAGAGGATGGCAGGGTCCAGGGCTGAGTAATTGGAGTGGAGAGAGGTCTTTTTGCATTTGACGAGATAATGAAACTCTAAGGCAGAAATGTTGATGGATTGTGCAGGTTGGTGCTTGGGAAGATGGTAGAATTTGAACTGAAAAAAACATAAGGCAGGTCTTCAATAAACATCACAGGCACAGCCCTTTCCTATGATGAAAGAATTAAATGGGTGAGAGTCAGTGCAGTTCTGGGAACCAGTAATGACCTAGCCCCTAGGGAGGCAGTAGGGTACAGTTGGGATGATGGTTTTCGTTGGCCTCTCTCACTCAGAAGCCTGTATCTGGCTGGGGAGTTGCCTGGATGCCTGTGGCTTAATCAGCTCTTCTCTCTTCTGCTGAGCACCTTTTTGTTGATTGCTGTTTGTGTGCTTATTGTGTATTTCCCACATTCTTTCAGACAGTTATTAAAGTGGCTTTAAGTAACTCTGCATGTTTTTAAGAGAGAAGATTGAAATTCATTTCGCAGCTGTGCTCTTGGTTTTGGATTATTCATGTGTTAGGTTAGTTGGGTTGCTACCATCTCCTGTGACCGAAGATGGTGACTAAAATGAGCTCGAGGAAGGCATTCTTGTCTGTATTAGAGGCAGAAGAAACCACTCATTCATCTCTGAGTTCTGAAGGAATTTAATTCTTAAGTATTGTATGCAAGGAACTAATTTATTTTATAACTTAACGTTCTGAATTTGAGGTATCTTAGGCCCAAAGTTCTTTATGTATTGGTAGTCTTTTCTGACAATTGTGATATTGAAATGGAAGTAAATTAGACTTTGATAATATGTATATGAAACGAGAATGTAAGGATCATAGTTAATGAGGCTGTAGTGAACGGAAGAAGTTCATGTTTTAAACCTGGAAAGGATCTTAGAAGTCATCAAATCCAAGTCTAGGATATACAGGTGGCAACTGAAACCCTGTAAGTAATTTGACCAAAGTTGCCCAGCTAATAATATATAGAGATGAAGGTAAAAATCATATGATATGAGGGTGGTAGAAGTAGTGATGATATGATTAATATCTGTCTAGAAAGGAGAGTTTCTGAACTTCCAGAGATGGATGGGGACCAGCACAGACCATTAGAAACAGAGGGCTGATGTGAGGTGTGAAGTACCTTTGAATTTCTGATCTGCTGACTTAAGCCTCACACTGATTGGTCTGGTGGTGGGTGACATGGAGGTTCAGTTAGTCATTTAGTCATTTATTCATCAGGTGCTTATTGACTGGCTACGGTGCTAGTAAATGCGAGTAAAACAAGTTGCTATACTCACGACCTCTTGTACTCCTGGAACAGTGCAAGGGAGAGTACCTTCTAATTTGCCGCCTCTCTTACACATACCAGAATTCTATGAAGTTTTTAAGTTAGTGACTTACAGGTTTCATGACCCACAAACCACTGCTGTTTATTTGCCTTAATATTTTTAAGGACTGCAGAAAATCAGGACCTGATAATACCACTAAACAGCCTGTGTCCTGGGGCCAGGGGAGGTGTGATGGAAAAGTACCTGAGAGCCTCCCTTAGAGTCTAGGTTGTTTAGGAGGAGATGTTTCTGAAGAGACAGTCACTGGAGCCACCCCGTTACCTTTGAGAACTCTACTTTTGGCCTTCCCGCAAAGCTGGGCACTGATGGTTGTGGTGGGGCAGATGTGCCTGGCGACTTCATGAACAAGTCCTCTTCTGCAGAGAACTGTAAACCTGTCTGAAATGGCAGATCTTGGTGAGAGATTGTTCCTCACTCCATTACTGCTTCTTCAGCCGGGACTGCTAACTTCAGAGGAATGTGGATTGGTGCCAGGCTGACAGGTCAGGGACACAATTTCTGCCAGAGTCACGTCTGAAAGAAGAGATCTTTTTCAGGTGAACTTACTTGGCAGTCATTTGTCCTGGGCGGAGAAAGTCATGTTTCCTGGTTTCATGAAGTTGGCGGACAAAGATTGACCTTTGTTTTGAACCTTTGGGATCGTCACTTTGCTTTGCATGATAGCAGATTGTTTTATTTGGAGTCGTTTTAGCTACCAGTTTGCTCCTTCCATTTCCTCAGCTAGTGTCAGAATACTAGTCAACTCTAAAGTTATTCAGTGTATAGTGTGCATTCATTCATTCATCAAATATTTACTGAGGGCCTGTGTGCCAAGCACTGTGCCAAATGCCAAGGGATACACGCTGGGGATACATTAGTGAACAAGATGCACAAGCTCCCTACTTTCAAGAAACTTACATAATGAAGGAGGAGGCTAGACAGCAACTAATGGAAATAATTTCAGGATGTATCAAGTGCCAGGAAGGAAATAAACAGGGTGCTATGTTAGAAAGTAACCCCGGTAGGGAATTCTTCAGGGTGATAGTCTGCTGCTTCCTTCCATTAGTTTAGATAAGCTAACTGATGGGTAGGAATGTAATACTCTAGAAGGGGAGAGGAAAAGCATTATTCAGAGTGGCATTACAGTTTTGTGGTTAATACGGTAGCTGAGAAGTTAATACAGGTGAAAGGGGTGACCTTATGGTAATGGATGATGATTAGACTTGTGATGGTGCTCACTGCAGTGTGTACAGATGTTGAACTATAATGCTGGAAACCTGATACTTATATAGTAAAAGGGAAAAAAACTAATATGAATGAGAAACTAAGAAACTAAATGCTATTCTTCCTAATGAATTAAACTGAAATGAATGAGCTAGGATGAGTAGTTTCCCCATTTAGTTAGGAGGCTACTGAAACGGCTATGATCACCTTGTTCCAGTGTAATTTGGGCCTTATGTGTTTATTTCCTCCTCAGGTGGAGGCCTAAATTTTGATCTATGTACTCCCTACATCAGCTGCCTGAAAGGACTTAATGATCACATGACCCTGGACATGGATGCTGTCCTGTCGGATTTTGTCCGTTCCACAGGCGCAGAGCCAGGGTTGGCTCGAGATCTCCTGGAAGGTAAGGAGTCTTTGGAGGAGAACGAGAAGAGACAAAGTAAAATGGAAGATGGGATATTTATTGTTAGGATGGTTTGGAATATTTAAGGTGATCAGAAAGACACTTTGTGTGTGGTAGGCCTTACATTTAAGTTATTTCTAATAATCCACTTCGTGTATGACCCACCATAACTTTAAAATGCAAAATTCCTTTTTTACCTTGAATTTTTAGGTAGCTTTCACCACTGTCAATTTATGCTCAGGTAATGCAAGTGAAATTTTACATTAGTCCACTAAAAGCAGTTTTAGAGCTGTGAGACTTTGTTTTTATATTGTAAGTGACTTGGATTTTCATATATGGGATCATCCATGGCTTTCTTCTTTCCTCCCCTAACTTGTGTGGGTCATTCTGTGTGAAGTGTACTGACTTAATGCTTTCATTTTGTTGCTTTTGTTTACTTACATCTGTGTATATCTGTATATACACATAAGTGTGTTCTAGATTTTAAGGTCCTTAAGGCTTGTTGGCATCATGTCATTAGCAATCTTTGGAGTCATAATTAATAGATACTTTTTAAAAAATATTTTTTAAATTGACGTATAGTTGATTTACAATATTGTGTTAATTTCTGGCATACAGCATAGTGATTCAGTTATATGTGTATATATTCCTCTTTATATTCTTTTTCATTCTAGGCTATTACAAGGTATTGCATATAGTTCCCTGTGCTGTACAGTAGGACCTTGTTGTTTATTTATTTTATATACAGTAGTTAGTAACGAAAAATCCCGGACTCCCAATTTATACTGCCACCTTCTCTCTTTCCCCCGTGGTAACCATAAGTTTGTTTTCTTTGTGAGTCTGTCTTTGTTTTGTAAATAAATTCATTTGTGTCATTTTTTAAGATTCTGCAATAAGTGATCGCATGGTATCTTTCTGTCTCTTGCTGGCTTACTTCACTTAGTATGACAATCTCCAGGGCCAACCATTTTGCTGCAAATGACATTGTTTTATTCTTTTTTTATGCTAAGTAGTATTCCATTGTATATATATGTATACATATTGTATGTATATATATGTATATTATATGTGTGTGTGTATACATACCATGTTGTATGTATATATACACCACAACTTCCTTATCCAATCAAGAGATGCTTTTTAATGATGAAAATATATAATGACACAAATAGGTAAGCCTGTGGGGGAAGGGGGAAGTTCTCAGCATACACAGGTAATTTTTTAGATTGTCAGCCCTTAGTAGGGTGTGACAGTTTGACATATACTTAGCTACCTGTGAGAATAGTGTTGGTTTGGAAACAGATCAGGGTTTAAATTCCAGTTTGCTAATTCAGTACGGCTTTGCCCTTAACTTGCATTTTCAGTTTTATTTCCTATTACCTTCTCCCACAGTTCCTGTGCTCCAGCCAGGCCTGACTTGTTCCCTTTCCCTGATCATATTAAGTTGTCTCTTAAGTCTGCAGTGTCCTTTGCTCTGTTACTCTCCTGAAATTCTCCTCCTTCCCGATTCAGCTCAAGTGCCTTCTCTTCCTCTTGTAATGTGTGTTGAACACCTATATGTGTTAATGTGTGTGAGGTACTTGAGATATATTGTTTTATTCTCACAACCATTCTGCAAAATAGATTTTATTATCCTAGTATTACAGTTAAAAAAACCTAAGGTCTAGGAAGTTTAAGTAGGTTTTGAATGTAGGCAACCTAGTTTCAGAGTCTGTCTCTTAACAATTATGCTACAAGTTAATGCTTGCATGCGCTCTCTCTTCCTCTTTCTCACATACACACCCATGTGCACACACACCCATGCTATGAAAGAAGTTGAAGGTGCTATGAAAGTATAAGAAAGAAACCAAATTAAGATACAGAGTGCAGAACGGCCTTTTCTGAAGAAGTGACATATGAGCTGAACTCAGAAGGATGCAGAGTAGCAGGACAAAGGGATGTAGAAGAGAGTGTTATGCAGAAGAAGGTGAAAGAGTTTGGCACATTGGAGAAACTGACAGTGAGCCAGGTAGGAGGAGCGATGCCACAGTGGTAGACGCTCCTTAGGGAAGCAGGAGGCAGAATACCGGGGGCCTTGTAGGCCCTGGCAAGGGGTGTACGTTTCATTCTGTGTTCAGTGGGAAACTGTGAAGGACTTTAATCAGGGGAGTGAAATGATTGGACTTGAGTTTTTAAACAGTATACTGATTAAAGATGTGGAGCTGATTGGACGGTGGCCAGAGATGAAGTGGTAAAATCAGTTAAGAATATTGCCATAGTTTGGATGAGGGATGATGGTGATTTGGGGGACAGTTACTAGAAGTAGAGTGAGAGGTAGGTGAATTTAAGTTATAATTTAGAAGGGAAATCAAAGGGCCTGATCCTCACTTTCTGTCTCCGTCTTTCCCTCTGTCTCTGTTTCCCTGTGAAAGTTGACTCTGGTTGTAGGATAAGGAACGAATTGTAGAGGGGTGGGATGAGGAGTAGAGAGACTAGAGAGCCCCCTCCCAAAAGACCAAAAACCAGATGAAGATATGAGGACCTGAACTGGGGCAGTGACAATAAAAGTGGACAAGAATAGATTTGAAAGGTGTTTCAGGGGTACAAAGAACCCTGAGAATTCAGTAGATAGTGAGGGGAGGTGGGGAGGGGGGAACTGAGGAATAGAGAAGTGCTGGAATGACTGTCGTTTCTGGCCTGGAGGGATTGTGATGCTGATTTAGGGCATGTAGAAGGTGGGCATTCAGTTTGGGGCATGTTGATTGTTAGGAGGACCTGATTTTAAGGAGTTTGGCAGAAAATTGGAAGTACTGATCGAATGCTCAGGACAGATGTCATTCATTCATTTATTGGTTCAGGACAAAAGTCCTCCATTTTTTCAACAAATATTTTTTGAGTACCTACTATGTGCCAGATTCTAGATGCTTGAACAAAACAAAACAAACACAAATCTCTGCCCTTACATTCCAGTGTAAGAGATAGGCAATAAACAGTAAACATGATAATCAAGTAAACTGTAAAGTACTGTATTATAAGGTGTTAGGTGCTATGGAAAATGGTAAGGGGAACGATGAGCTGGGTTGTGATTTTTAACTGTATAGTCAGGGTGGGCCTTATTAAGAATGTGACATTTGAACAAATACCTGAAGGAGGTGAGGAGTTGTCTGTGTAGATACATTGAGAAAAGAGCCTTCTAGGCAGTGGGCATAGTGAGTGGAAAGGCTGTAGGTGGGAGCAGTCTTAGCAAGTTTCCGGTAACTGCAGAGAGGCCAGTGTGACTGAACAGCGTGAGCAAAGGGAGTTGGAACAAATGGTGAATGTAATGGCTGAGAGGTAGATTCACCCGGCGTGGGTGATTAATACGGCTTAGCTGAAGAAGTGTAATTATGACAAGAAGCATAACAGCAACGGCAGTGAATACATATGTAAGGCTTTCTGTGCACCAGGCGTTGTTCTAAGTGCTTTCAATTCATTTAATCTTCATAACAGTCCTGTCCGATATCATTTCCACTTTCACAGACAGGGAGATTGAAGCACAGACGAAAGGTTGGAAAAGCAGGCCAGGAAGGCCTGGATGTCAGGCAGAGGAGCCTAGGCTTTACTCTGTAGGCAGTGGTGAGCCACTAAAATTTTTGATGATGAAACTGAAATGATCAGAATTGTGCTTTAGAAGAATGAATCCCATAGGATCCTTTAGAGTGGATTGGAGGCGGGACATTAGGTGACAGGACTTGAATTAAGGTGGTGACATGGAACAGGACAGAAAGAAGTGTGAGCAGTTATGCCGTATGTCATTTATTGACTAATTTAACTGGAGAAAGTAACAGAAAACTCTATCGTGGCACATCTGTCATTTGGGTCTTTTCTTCAGTGAAGTAGTGATTCGTAAATTTGAGGGGAATTAACATTTCCCTTTGATAATCTGATGGCAGCTGTCAGCTCTTCCTTTAGAAAAATGCGCACACCTATAACTTCGTATTCAACTTCAGGTGGTTTAGGGCGCCCTAAAACACTCTGAGGCAAAGAACTCTCTGGATCTCAGAATTAGGGGACCTGGGCTTGCGTCCAGCCGAGCCCCGGTACGAACTAACTGTAACTTTGGGCAAGTAATTCTCCTTGTTGAGGCTTCATTTCCTTTATCTGTAAAATGAGGTTACTAGGCCTCCAATGGCCCTTTCAGTTCAGAGAGAGAAATTCTCTGTGCTCATGGGGCTTACTTAGGAAATAGATGATAAGTAAATAAAGAAATTGTGATATTCCAGAATGAAGTATTATGAAGGACATTAAAGAAGGGAAGGAAAAAAGAATGACTGAGCTGTGTGTGAGTACATGCTTGCTGGTTTGCTGCTGGGGCGCTTAGAGTCATGGTTCTGTATCTTTCCTCAGTTTGCCCATACTCTTGAGTGCCCAGTTTACTTTTTGCTTTGTCTCCTGATAGGAAAGAATTGGGATGTGAGCGCAGCCCTCAGCGATTTTGAACAGCTACGTCAGGTCCATGCTGGGAACCTGCCTCCACCCTTCAGTGAAGGGAGTGGTGGCTCCAGGACCCCTGAGAAAGGATTTTCTGATAGAGAGTCTGCTCGCCCTCCACGACCCACCCTACAGCGACAAGATGACATCGTTCAAGGTATTGGGGTACTGAGGGGTGTTTCTGTATGAGGAGTAGAAAGGAAGGGAGGTGACTGCTAACCGGAGTGAGGGAGTTTAGCGATCCTTTGGAGATGTTTCTGTTCCTCCCCTACCTCCCCAGCCAAACCAATCAGAGGTGACCTCAGTCTCTCCAGGTGCTGGAACCTGTCACTGTCTGCATCTTGAGTGCTATCCTGTAAAAAAGCCTTCTTTAGGTATTGTGAAAGAGATAGAGGAAGGATGATAACAATTTAATTGTTGAGATAAGACACACATAAAGATGGAATTCAAAGGATCGCTATCATCTACCCCTTTGGAGCATTTTGTTAGTATTTGTCAGTATCTATCAAAATTTAAAAATGCACGTATACTCTGATTCAGCAATTTCAGTTCTAGGAATTGTATCATATGCATGTTATGTGCATGTGTGTATATATCCTTTTAAATAAATACATACATGCATACATAAATAGACACAAATACATATGTAATGTAAAGCTTGAAAGTTAAAGCTTAAAAATAACTTTCAATGTCCATTAGCAGAGGAGTGGTTAAATAAATTGCAATCATCCATGTTGTGAAATACATCGCAGCCATTGGAAAGAATTAAGTAGAACTAGATGTACTGTTTTGGAAAAATCTCTAAAATCTATTGAGAAAAAATAAGGTGTAGTACAGTATATGCAGTATGTTCCTGTTTGTGTTTTTAAAAAATATTTTAAAAGCTCTGTGTACTTCTATATGCAAAAGAAATTCTAGAAGGATGCAAAAGGTCGCCTCTGGGAGGGGATCAGGAATTTTGAATGAGAGGGAGATTTCTTTGTAACACTTTAAACGTTTTGATAGTATCTTGACTTTTTACCTTGGGCATGTGGTACTTTTTAAACACCTAGAGTTTTAAAAAATAATATCACTATAAAATAACTTTAGACAACTCTTTACTTACTTTGTGCATTATCTCTGGCAAATATTATGTTAAGACTTGCTACCCAATGTGAGTTTTAGCTCTCTTGATGGGACTTTATATAACTCAAGCCATGCAAATAAATTGTAATACTGTACTGAACAAATTATGATCACAGTGAAATATCTGCTGAAGAATGACAAGTGCCATGTGTTCAAAACAAATGAAACAATTTGGGGCACTATCTACATTACTGTCTTCCTCTGCAGTATCTGAAGTAAGAATATACATTTTGACAAATATGAGTATCAAGAAAAGTTGTAGTAAATGATGTAAATAAATGTTATTGATGATAGGTAAGAAAGTTCCCAAATGCATAAGATTTGTCATGAACTTTCTGTAATGGAAATCCTTTTCTATATTCTCCAAGACCCTGAAAATTATCAGAGAGATTATCTGACTCAAGCTAGCTAAATGAAACCCCATGTCCCTTATTCTCTCTCCTTCCACCAAACACTGACCACATTGCCAAATGAATGGGTCCCTATTATGTTGGGAAATGGAGGTGGAAGAAGACAGTGTCATGGCGGGAAGAAGTTTAAGACAAGTTCCAAAAAGGATAGAAAGAGGAGTGTATATTTGGTGCTAATGTGAGTGCCTGTGAAAATACCACTTTCTGTGTTTCTTCAGTTGTATTTGGCTTGAGAAAGAGGGTCGTGAAATTTGGTAGCCAGTTAGACTCACAGCTTTTCCCTGACCAGAAACCTTGTCTAGAGGTAACCGTCACCACGTGAGTGGAAAGTTCTCTGAGTGGGTTGTATATGTTCTAAGGTGACTCCATTTCTCATTGCAGAAAAACGCCTGTCTAGGGGCATCTCCCACGCCAGCTCCAGCATTGTTTCCCTGGCCCGGTCCCATGTCTCCTCCAGTGGTGGGGTGGGGGGAGCAGTGAGCACCCCCTGGAAATGCCCATCTGTGCCTTCCAGCTTCCAGATCTCACTGTGTACAACGAAGACTTCCGCAGCTTCATAGAGAGAGACCTCATTGAGCAGTCCATGCTTGTTGCCTTGGAACAGGCAGGTCAGTGAGCGCTTCCTTTCCCACGCTCTCCACCTATGCACAGCCACGTGGAGGGGCCGGGCGTGGCCGGCGGCTTCCAGTCCAAGCCTTTGGTCCGAACGTATCCAGACTCCGCAGTCAGGCAGATAAACGTGCACTGAGCTAGGCGTTTCTTCAAGTTACAGAAAAGACATAAATTAGATGCTTTCCTCTGGAAATTTCCCATTTGTTAGAAGGAAAACCAGAAATACACCTAGGAATCAGTACCTAAAAATCAATACATGAAGAAAAAATACAGGTGAATTATAATTGGCCCTGGAAGACCCTTGGGAACAGAAAGAACCAGCGCTGTCAGTGATGCGCGGCGGTGGTTAATCCAAGTCATGTTTGTTTATTTGAACCTTTCCCAAAAGATTTATTTACTTTTACAGTTATATTTGTCTTAAGTTATTGTTATAATTAGTTAATATGATGGGGTGAGGCAGCTGGGATTTCTGGAAAAGCTTGTAAGGTATTAAAAAATTCTTGTGGAAGGACTGAGGGGTGGGAGGTGGGGGCACGGAAGGAAGCTTTTATTTTTCATTTTGTACCCTTCTATTCTAACCATGTGCATCTATTCATAATTTTTTAAGTAGTAAGCAGTTTATTTGGCAGGTATGATTACAGACCAATTTTTGTTTCAGTAGACTTTTCAGTAATTCAAGAAAACTTTTAAGCATTCTTAAAATATTTTCCTTATGTAAATAATGGATTAGCAATTGTGGGATATCTACAGAATTGAGACTTACTTTCTTGGGTGTTTTAAGTGCTCTGTCTTACTGCTCATGTCTTTAAAGTCACACCAGATCCATGCTGACATGCTCACTGTTGCATATGCAGATGATACTTGCATGACCCTTTGAATACAGGCTTTGAGTTGTTTTTCTTTTGCTGGTGATGGATTTATGCTGATTTTTGTTGCTACAGTATTTGCTGGTCTACTGACCAGAGTGAAGGAATCAGAGCCAGACCAAGTAGCCAACACAGATTTCAACCTACGACCTTGGCCTCATCATCCAACCCAGGGTTGTTCAAACTTAGTGCTGTTGACACCTAAGACCAGATCATTCTTTGTTGTGTAAGCTGCCTTCCTGGCCTCTACCCACTAGATGCCAGAAGCATCCCCTCACCAGCTGTGACAACCAGATATAATTCCAGATGTTGCCAAGTGTTCCTTTGGGGACAAAATTGTCCCCACTTAAGGACCACTGATCTAAGCACTTGGGCTCCCCAGATTCTGATGAAGCAGATGTAAGTGAAGAAGATACATAGAGTAATAGAGTGATGGTTTTATTCCGAGGAGGTAAATTTGGAGTCTGTTTTAGAAATAGGGAAGTGGGAAGAGCTTTGTGGATAATATGCTTTTCTCCTTTTCCTCTTGTTTCTGTAGGGCGTTTGAACTGGTGGGTGAGTGTGGACCCCACCTGTCAGAGACTCCTTCCTTTGGCAACTACTGGAGATGGAAACTGCCTTCTGCATGCCGCCTCTCTTGGTGAGTCTTGCAAGTGGTCCTTTGTTCCCTCGTAGAAAGGAAGCAATAGGGTTAAATCTCATGTGCAGGACTTGATCCAGCCAACCTTGATCAGGAGGTTCTGAACCTCCCGAGTAGGAATGTCTTTTCTTTCTTAATTACCTTTCCCCTAGGTCACAGCAGGGGGTTTCTTTGAATCTGGGCTTCAACCTGATTTCCTTCATGTCAGGGTGTGTATCATAATTGGTAAGTGGAACTGAGTCAAGGGAAGGTGTCTTATCATTATGTTTTCCTGCCACAGGGATGTGGGGTTTCCATGATCGGGACTTGATGCTGCGGAAAGCTCTGTATGCACTGATGGAGAAGGGAGCTGAGAAAGAAGCATTAAAACGGCGCTGGAGGTGGCAGCAAACTCAGCAGAATAAAGAGGTGAGGGTGCTTGGGTGGGAGCACCTTGCTTTCTCCAGTTACCCGGGAAAGTGGCCAGGGCTAGCGGTAGGAAGTGTCTCCTACTTAGGTGCTTAAGTCAGTGTTACTCCTTTTATAATCCTGGAGGTTGTCTAAAATGCAGCTGGTACCGCAGGGCACATGCCTCCTGAGACAGGTGTGAGAACGGGTGTGGGGAAGCCGAGCTGTAGAGGGGACATCTGACACTGTGCTTTTCCACCTGACAGGCTCTCGCTAAGCCTTCAGTGGCAATCTTTTGCAAAACAAAGTATGTGTTCAAAGAATTTTTATATTGTTTTTTGCTTATAATAAGGCTAGGCCAGTTTTTAAGGACTTACATTTTTAACTCTTACAGAAATGTAAATGCTTAAAATTTTTTCGCCATATATACCATTTGTTTTTCATATATTCAGTATGTTTGTAAAAAACTTTTAAAGGCATGAGTCTGAATGGTTAGCAAATGTTGAGGCTGCTTCTGTATAAGAAACTAACAATGAACTATTTGTACTTTCCATCCCTGTCCAGAGGCTGGACAAAATATGACTTGTGGGTAAAATCCCACCAACTGTTTTTGTTAAAAAAAAAAAGTTTTAATTGGAACACAGCACCCCCTTCATTCATTTACATGTTTATGTTTATGTAAGTGCTTTCCTGCTCCAGCAGCAGAATAGAGTTGCATGTGGCCCAGAAAAGTGTAAAAGATGTACTGCCTGGCCCTTCACAGAGAAAGTTTGCCGATTCCCTTCCCTTTAATAATGAATGACATTATACAGTTACATAATGATAATGAGTCTCCCTGTTTCCTTTTGCCCTGGTTCTCTCTCTGTCTTCTCTGTTTCTCTCCTGCTCTTCGTGTGTAGCTGCTCTTTGCCATGTGTATAGCTGGGCATCTCTGGCATTAATGTGGGAATATCTCTTGAGAAACTTTCCTCTTTCTTCCCGTCGTCCCCCCACCTTTTTATTGCTCTATCATAGCTGGCCATAATATAGAACTAAGAGATTTCTTTTTGTTTAAGTTATTAGAATCTTTTGCCTTGAAGATTTAAAATATGGAAGTAGAAAGTGTTATATTTCTTTCTCAAAAACAAAGAACTCAGTTGTTACAATAAGGATGTTATTAAGATCAGAATCCTGTCTTTGATCAGCCAGTCTGCCCCAGAAGATTCCTGAGGGAAATAAATGCCCAGGGGCAAGGCCAAGTAAACAGCATTCTTTACTGACTCGCCAAACCCCCAGCTCCCTGGTGAGCTGAGCTGGACTGCGTGGAGAGCTTTTTTTGCCTGAGTGAGAGCCAGCCTAGAGTTTGCCTTCTTCTCTGTTGAATTCACACTGTACCTGAACCTTAGATTTGACCACTTCCGAGACAAGAAAAGGCCAGACCAGAGCGTGCCAGCCAGAAGTGACAGCAGCAGTCAGAGAATAGGTGGGCCCGATGCCAGCAGTCAAGCTACGATAGTTATTATTTTAAAGGTGGGGTTAGGTTATGATGGTATTTAGCCTGGAGACCCAGAAATATCCAAGCTCTATTCTTGGTCAGCCACCTATTCCCTCTCGAAGTCCCCAAGGGGAAATACATGCATAGAGAATAGTAGCTATGCAAGGAACAATCTTTTTACTCCTTTTGCTCAGCACATTGGAAGTTCTAAGTGGAAACCAGATAATTGTTTTAGCTCAGACCATTCATAGTATTATATCCCAGCGTGGAAGTCAGATGACGGGGTGAAGGACTGGAGAGCTACTTTTAGCCAGCACCAAACACCAAACTAAATTGGTTTTGATTTCTCAGGCCTCCTTGTTTTGTTGTTGAAAATGGTGGTAAAACCTAGTAAGAGCACTTTCAGCCTAGAAGGGTGCACCGCCTAGTGGCTGTGTGTGTAAAAATAGGAAGCAAACATCCGTGAGAGGATGAGGGGGGCGGATCCTCATGAATGTGTATCATTTATCAGAGAGACCAGAGCACCTAGTATGTAACCAGTGCATTGTTTTTATTTTTAGTTGAAAAAGTTTGTGATAGCATTTTACAAACTGAAAATAGCTGTCATTTTTTAAATTATTAAAGTAAAATGTGCTCACAGCAGCTCTATAATTCCTGTTAAATTTGTTTCTGATACTTCTCATGTTTCCAGTGTGTTTTTTTCTACTCTGTCAGTGTGTGTTTTAAGTATAAACTCATTTTAACACTTACGTAAGTCAAATGTAAATAATAAGGTAGATTTTCTTCCAAATCATACACATCCTGAAGCCTATATGATATTATAAGATTGTTTGTACCACTTCTTCCTCTTCTTTGATAAAAACTGTAGTTTCACTCAGTATGTGTGTTTTGATTACTGGTCACACAGCAGGTGCTGGGCGTAGTGCATAAGACACTGTGCTGGTTCTTAAGAGTAGTAGGAAGAGATGGACATGTAAATACATCATTGCCAAAACGGAACAGGTTGTGACTTCCGTGGTAGAAATCCATATAGCAGTTGAGGAGGGAGGACGCAAAGAAAGGAGTGAGTGGTCGATCTACCAGGGAGATTTAGGAAGGCCTTCATAGAGGAGTTGTCTTTCCTGACAGTTGAGAAATTATTCTCTAGGTGAATATGGAGTGGGCTGCTCTAAGCAGAAGGAACAACGTAGACAAGACTCAGAAGTATGAAACAACATGGCGCATTCAAGGAGCTACAGCTAATTAAATGTTGAATCAGAGAGGTGGGTTGGGGCCAGGAAGTGGACTCTGTATGCTATGCTTAAGGAGTTTGAACTGTATCTAATAGGCAATGACAATTCTTAAAAGAATTTGTATCAGGAAGCTAACATCATCAGATTTTAATTTTAGAAAAATCTTTGATAGCATAGTAGAAACTGGATCATAAGAATGTATGACTGAAAGTAGTAAAACCAGTTAAGGGTCCATTACAGTAGTTCGTGCTTAATAATTGTTGACTAAAGGGATCCAGATGTGGGATGGGTGAAAGGAGAGGAGTCTTAGATAAACCCCGGCTTTTAGTTGGGTGTTTGGTGATAGTGGGTTCACTAAGGTAGAGATACAGGAAGAGTGGGTTTTAGAAGAGGTGGAAGTCCAGTTTTGACCGGATCAAGTCTGAGGTAGTCATAGTGGTGGCTGTCATCAGTAGGCAGCTGGATGTGAACACAGAAGTTAAGAGGAAGTCTGGGCGGAGAGGAAGATGTTAGAGTCCTGAGCATATAGACAGCTGTAGATGAGATGACGGTGGTAGAAGAGATAACCCAGAAGGGACCAAGGCTAACATCACTGACACAGCTTCAGTATTTCTGAGGTCAACAGAGTTGAGAGAGGTAGGAGAAAGTAGATTGTGCAGGCTGGAGGAGAAGAAAGTTTAAAGAGGAGATCAAATACCACATGGAAGCTAAGAAAGATAAGCACTGAAGAGTCCACTGAATTTGGCAATGACAAGGTCATTGTCTTTTGCTAGTTAGGTGAAGTGTGTGGGGGTGGGGGTGAAGGCTAGAGGGCATAGACAGAAGCTAGACTGCAGTGGGTCAGAAAGGAGCGGGAAAAGGCCATAGACTCTTCTTTCAAGGCTCTTAACTATAAAAGGGAGAGAGATTTGACTTTGTAGTGCAAGTTGTACGCCAGGTGCTAAGAGAGTAGGGAGTGGGGTAACGTGAATGAGTTGGAATGGCTATTGTCTCTTGAATCTAGCCTCTAATTGCTTGCTGTCCCCTGCTCGTCTTTCACACAGTCAGGACTGGTATACACAGAGGATGAGTGGCAGAAGGAATGGAATGAGCTGATCAAGCTTGCCTCAAGTGAACCCCGCATGCATCTCGGAACCAACGGAGCCAATTGTGGTGGGTAAGTATGTCTAAGTGGAGGAGCAGGAAATTATCTTTGCTGAGTCCTCAGTGTCCAAAGAGCTCTGTGCTAACAGGATATTAGAGAGAGAGAAGCCATGGCAAGGGCACAGAACGGGGTGACAGTGTGGCATGTTCTAGGAACTACGGGCAGTTCAGTTACTGCCAGAATACAGAGTGCGTGGTGCACAATGATAGATGAGGCAGTGTAGACTTCTAGGGGCCACGCTAAGGTTTCTCTTGTACGATGCTATGGAATTAAAATTGTATTCTCTCCAGACTTTGGGAAACTGCAGGACAAATGACCTGGTTTCCTCAACAAATAAAGGCAAAGATAATAAAAAAGGAAAAGGATGCTTAAGAGACACATCAACCTGTTGGAATGTGTGGACATTTATAAGACAGTTGGGGAAATGTGAATGACGTCTATGTGTTTGATTACTGTTAAGTTTTTAACGTGTGATATTGATGATATTGTAGTTGTTTTAAAAAGGAGTTCTTTATTTTTTAGAGATAGAAACAAATATTCATGATGTAATGATATCTAGGATTTTCTTCAAAAATAATCTGGTGTGGTGGGAGCTGATCCCTAGGGAAATATATCGAGGTCTAGGTGAAACTAGATTGACCATGTGTTCATAATTGATGAGGCTGGGTGATGGATACATGAGAGGTAAGTATAATATTCTTTGTAGTTTTAGATATGTTTAAAATTTATAATTTTTCTATAGTAAAAAGTTAAAAATTATAACCTGTCCAAACTTTATTGTATATAAGAATAATCTGGGAGGATAGTTTAAAATGCACACTCTGGACCTGCACCCTAAGGAAGTCCAGTTGAGTTGGACAGAGGTAAGGCCCAGAAATCTGCATTTGTGGCAAGCATCGAGGGTTGAATAACATTGCTTTAGGGGGCAGGAAGCCACTGAATCGTGAGTATGCGGGTGACAGAAGCACTGCTGTATTTGGACACACTGAAGTAGTAATCTGGGAAGGAGGGGCCGTGGGTGTGAGGAGTGGTGGGTCGCAGATAGGCCAGAGGAGACAGGTGCAGGAGCCGCTTAAGAGAGGGACTTGGTCAAGCCAGGTGATTAACTGAAGATGAGACATAAAGGACAGTAAATACTTCAGGTTTCTGATCAGGCTGCGATGTAGACGGGTGAGGCTGTTCTTCAAGTAAGGGAACACAGAAGGAGGGATTTTTAGTTTCTTTTTTGGGAGGGGTAGGACATGATGCGTGTGGGGTGTGGGTGGTTGTGCTGGGTACAGTCAGCAGGATGAGGCTACACAGTTCTTGGGTGTTGAGCTGCTGGATGAAGAGAAGGGGAAGGTGGCTGAACATGATGGGTATGAAGAGAGGAATTACTTCCCAATTCCTGACGCTGCTTTATCCCCAGAGCCTTCACATTGCTTTTCTTGGATTCCTCATCTGTGAAATGGGAGTAGGAACAGCCATGGTAGCATAAGATAATCAGCTACGTCTATGGCAGCCTTAAGACTGGAAAAACGGAAAGGCATTTCTTTTTTTCCTCTTTGCAGAACTGGTCTTCAGGGGTCTCTTGTTTTGTTTTCTTCCCTCCTCCTTCCACTGCACCCCTTCCACTCTCTCCCCTCCTGCAACTCTAGGGTGGAGAGTTCAGAAGAGCCTGTGTACGAGAGCCTAGAAGAATTCCACGTCTTCGTCCTTGCCCATGTGCTCAGGAGGCCCATAGTCGTCGTGGCAGACACCATGCTGAGGGACTCCGGAGGGGAAGGTGAGTCAGTCCTCACTCTACCCTGAGCATCCCTGTCTGCAGAGCCTTGGGCTAAGCACTGGGAGGAGGGCAGGAAAGGGGACATGTAGACCCTTGGGGAAAAAACAAGGTATAAGTTAGAACAATGCAAAATTCTCAAGAGATTCAGAGTGAAGCGGCTGGGGTTACTGAACGAGACTTCTAGGAAGGAATTATTACACGTGGGTTGGAATGAGAGAGCTCCAGGGGCAGAGTAGGGTGGGGCCGTGTCCTACTAGGCAAGAATATAACCTTAATAATCATCTCCATGGTTTCCTGCAGCATTTGCCCCTATTCCCTTTGGGGGAATCTATCTGCCCTTGGAGGCCCCAGCCAGCCAGTGTCACCGCTCCCCTCTGGTGCTCGCCTACGATCAGGCCCACTTTTCTGCACTGGTGTCCATGGAGCAGAAGGAGAATGCCAAGGAACAAGGTGTGGGATGCAGTGTCTGTGTCTCTGGTGTCTTTTGGTCTGCTTTATTTTCACTTGGAAGAACTGAAATGAGGCAGAGTGTAGGAGGAAAGAAGTGACATGGAAGCCCAGACAAGCATGTTGATACTGTTTTCCTCAGCTGTAAGATGATATACTGGGGTTTTAAAATTTTAAAAAATTGCGTTTGGGGAAAACGCAATAGCCTGTTTTCCCTGTTCCCTGCTCTGGAATAAAAAGCTTATATATTAAGGTCATAGAAGCTTCCAAATGAAGGTCTTAATATATTTGTCTTAATAATGACTTTAAATTCCCTGAATCTGCATTAACTGGCAAGAACATCATGGGTGCTGACTGGCCGGCTGGCTGACTGGTGGGAAGTTGTGGAGATCAGTGGCCTGAATTGTGTGCTGGTAGTAAGGGAAAACCTTCCTGTTAATTTTTATTTGTTTTCTTTTCTTTTTTTTAAATTTTGTTGTTTTGGGAGGAAACTAGGAACTTACTTATTTATTTATTTATTTTTATTTTAATGTATTTATTTTTTAATGGAGGTACTGGGGCTTGAACCCAGGACCTTGTGCATGCTAAGCACATGCTCTACCACTGAGCTATACCCTCCCCGTGCCTGTTAGTTTTTGATGCTGAGGTAATTCACGTGTAAGACTTGAGAAGTGGCTCTAGTTAGAGACCTTTGTTACGGTTCAGCCTTCTTTTTAGTGAAGTCAATCTGTGTTCAGTTGCCTTCCTCTCTCAAGAGATTCCTTGATCGTGTGTTTTTCCTCCCCAGCTGTGATCCCACTTACAGATTCAGAGCATAAGCTGCTGCCCTTGCACTTTGCTGTGGACCCTGGAAAGGGCTGGGAGTGGGGCAAAGATGACAATGACAATGTCCGATTGGCCAGGTGAGGCAGGCCTAGCCTTTCATCTGCTTTGTAGCTGTGGGCTTATCTCCCAGGGACTTTCCCCAGCCCGGAGGCAGAGACAGTCCCCTAACATCCCGGTGTCTCTGGGAAGGTGGAGAGGTGGGAGGCGGGCTGGGCAGCGGGACTCTGCAGCGCGCAGCTGCTGCTTCTCCCTGAGAAAGAGCCTGGAGTCCCGGGATCTCCTTACAACATGCAGGTGTTCTTGCAGGATCCCCAGACAGTGGTCAGAAAATCAAGATAATCAAATCACACTTCTTCTCCCAGCCCATGTAGAAGGGGTTTAAACAGTTGACCAAATAGTGTGCTCTGGATTTTGCCTTTCTGGAATTTAAACAGCAAGAATAATGTGTTCTCCCCTCCTGCCACCTGCCTCCCAGAAGTTGGTTTCCTCCTGCCTCCTCAGCTTCCTGTGAAGAGCTTATGAATATGAAAGCCCCTCCCTTACTGCTTACCTAGTGCCTCCTTCTTTGGGCTCTTGAAACTGATCCAACTGAGAGCCTTTGATTAAAAAAACCCAGAGTTTATGACTTTTTAAATAAGTTCTCACCTAATTGTCAGAAACTCCTTCCTTCCAAGTAATATTTACAACAAAACAACAACGGCTCCTGTTTAGTGTGTCCTATTTTCCAGACACTGTGCTGGGCCCTTTCCAAATATTATCTTAATCTTCACAATAGCCCTACAGGATAGATGTTACCCAGTGTCAACCCCAAGTGAGTTTCAGGAAGGTTGAAGTGAGTTGCTCAGAGTCATAAAGCTTAGTAATTGCTGGAGCTCTAATTCAAACCCGACCCTCTCTGAGGTCCCAGCTGGGTAGCCCTCTCCCAGCCTACCCCCAGCTGGATCATGCTCCTTGGCTTTCTAAAGGTCCCAGTACAAATTTAAATTCTCTTTCCCCTCCTTTTCCCAGTGTAATCCTGTCCCTAGAGGTCAAGCTGCATCTGCTGCATGGCTACATGAATGTCAGGTGGATCCCTGTGTCCTCAGACGCTCAGGTAAGGGCTTCTCCCCGCCCGCCCTTGCGTGTCCTCACTTTCCGTGTCGGGGGAACAAGGAGATGTGGTGGTCTCCTCCTGAGTCTCTGCCGAGCAGTGGCTTCTGATTCAGCAGGTTAGGAATAACTGGGAAATACCAGGTAAGTTCCAAGAGACACTTTTCCCTGACTTCCTACCTGTTAGTGCCCGTTGTATCTGCTCTCCAACCAAGCTCTGCTTTCTGACACTAAAACACCGTCGTCAAGAAAAGTCTGAGGTTGTCATTACTTTGCTCCAAGCCCTCTGCACATAGACCTCCGTGCTGGGGACCAGCGGAGACAGAATAGCTTAAAGAGCTCCTGATCTGGTAGGTTCTGATGGTGTCACTCTTAGCCGTTGAACAGGAACACGGGAGCAAAGGCAAACTGGTGGACTCCAGTGCTGAACGTCTAAAAGTTGAGGGGATGCAGAATGGTTAGACTTGGGGTGATTATTTAAGACTTCCTTGAGATTAATTCTGGGCAGAATTGGGCATAGAGGAACTTATAGTAAAGGACGTTCTAGTGTCTGTAGAATGTTCTCCCTCCTCACCCAGAAGCCATTTGTTTGGGTGGTTGCGCATTGTTCTGGAAGAGCAGTCAGCCTTTGTTTTGATATCTCCTTATTACAAAAGGGAGTGAAATTGCAGGAAGCGAGGTAAAAGTTACATATTAGATACATCTTACCCTGTCCCACGGGAGAGTTGACTGGAGTTGGGAAGGATAGTGTCCTCCTGGGGGACCCTTCTCCCATCATGACAGCAGCCCTTCTCTGGAACTAGGCAGTCACTCTGGGAAAGCATTCGCTACCACCCTCTTCCTCCTGGCTAAGTCCAGGGAGCCCTGTGAGCCAGATGGATGGGCTGGAGGTTCCTGGGGGCTTCCCCCAACCCAGACTGTGGGACAACTGTCAGCCATGCTCTTGTCTCTTCCAGGCGCCCCTGGCCCAGCCGGAGTCCCCCACAGCCTCGGCTGGAGATGAGCCCCGGTCCACTCCTGAGTCTGGGGAATCAGACAAGGAGTCAGTTGGCAGCAGTTCTGCCAGCAACGAGGGCAGCAAGCGGAAAGAGAAGTCGAAGCGAGATCGGGAAAAGGACAAGAAGAGAGCAGATTCTGTGGCTAACAAGCTGGGCAGCTTTGGCAAAACCTTGGGCAGCAAGCTCAAGAAGAACATGGGGGGCCTGATGCACAGCAAGGCTTCTAAGCCCGGTGGGGCGGGGGCGGGGGCTAGCGGTGGCACCGAGACGCTGGAGAAGAAGAAGAAGAACTCACTGAAGAGCTGGAAGGGCGGCAAGGAGGAGGCAGCTGGGGATGGGCCTGTATCCGAGAAGCCCACGTCTGAGTCTGTTGGTAATGGAGGGAGCAAGTATAGCCAGGAGGTGATGCAAAGCCTGAGCATTCTGAGGACTGCGATGCAAGGGGAGGGGAAGTTTATTTTTGTTGGAACCCTGAAGATGGGTCACCGTCACCAGTATCAGGAGGAGATGATCCAGCGCTACCTTTCTGATGCTGAGGAAAGATTCCTGGCAGAGCAGAAGCAGAAGGAGGCAGAGAGGAAGATCATGAATGGAGGGGTAGGGAGTGGGCCTCCTCCAGCCAAAAAGCCAGAGCCAGATGGTGGGGAGGAGCTGCTGGCTGCCCCTCCAGCAGAGTCCAAGGCAGTGGCATTTTCCACTGGCTACCCTGGTGGCTTTACTATCCCTCGGCCTTCGGGGGGTGGAGTCCACTGCCAGGAACCCCGGAGGCAGTTGGCAGGGGGGCCGTGTGGGGGGAGCCTACCACCATATGCCACCTTCCCCAGACAGTGCCCTCCTGGGCGACCCCACCCCAATCAGGACAGCATCCCTTCTCTGGAGCCAGGCAGTCACTCCAAGGATGGCGTTCACAGGGGTGCCTTGTTACCACCCCATTTCCGCGTGGCTGATTCCTATAGCAATGGCTACAGAGAGCCCCCTGAGCCAGACGGATGGGCTGGAGGTCCCCGGGGGCTCCCCCCAACCCAGACCAAATGCAAACAACCGAACTGCAGCTTCTATGGACACCCTGAGACAAACAACTTCTGCTCCTGCTGTTACAGGGAAGAGCTGAGGAGAAGGGAGCGTGAACCGGCTGGGGAGCTGCTGGTGCACAGGTTCTGAATGGGGACGCCTCTGTGGGCAAGGGGGCTACACAGAGTTAAGCTCAACTAATTGGCTCATAAGACCCAGCCCCATGTTGATGGGGCAAATGCAGTCGTGTGTGGGAGCCTGGCTAGAGACTTTTAAGTGTGTATACTCTGGGGAGCTGCCAGGCTGGCAAGAGCAGGCCAGGGCTGGATGGTGCCTTGAGGGCTGCACTGGTCCTCTGCCGATCTTGACATGAAGGGACTGAGGAAGTACACGGGGGGAAGGATGGTAATTCTGTGTCATAACCCCTCGAGTCCATCCCAGGACCTAAGAGAAAGTCGTCAGGGGGGAGGGGGAAGCTTTGGTGTGTGGGGGTGGGGAGATGGGTAGACGTGTTGGGGAGGAACAGGCAAAGGAGGTTCTCAGTCAATAAAAGAAAAAACAGACCAAAGTTCTTTCAGGTTGGAAAAAAGCACATGGTGGTGGAGTTGGGAATGTGGAGGGAAACTGGGAAATTAGACAGATTTGCTATTGACTTGAATTAAAGCGGAAACTTAGGGTTGGATGAATTCTTCCTCCTGCAGGGTCTGGAAAGACAAGGCAATAATGTGTGCTCATGGGTGCTTATTAGGAGGGGGATAGCTTGAATCAGGTTAGTAAGATGGGAAAGGGAGGAACTTAAAAGGGGAATCTTTCCTCTTAAATTTTATGTCCTTCTGAACAGCCATCTGTCATCTGTTCTAGTTTGAGAGATGGCCGACTGAGTGCCCCCTGTCTTTTCCTCGTCCTTTTTGAGGGCTGAGCTCAGCTAAGAAGGTTGGGGGATTTTTAAGAATTTAATTTTATTAAAAAAAAAAGTTCCCTCTGGGGAAGGGAAGAGAGTGGTGAGAAGAGCAGCTGTGCGTGTTTAATTTTCTCCAGGTGAATTGATGCAGAGGTGATCTTTTTTTAACTACTTAGCAATAACCACACCTTAGGGTTTGAGGACGCCTTGGGAGGGGTGTAGGAGGACAGACTTTTAGCCAGACTGTTGGAAACAAAACCAAAAACCTAAATAGAGCACTACCATCCTCTGCTGCTGCGTTTCTGTAGAAAGCAACTTATTTTTTGGACTTTTTTTTTTAAAGGAAAAGGAACAAAAAGACCCCAGCAAGCAAAAACATTTTTAAAAATGATTTTTTTTCCTATTTAAGTGATTCTTTCTCCTTTCTCTCTACTTTTGGAGAATGAACTTAACATCCCGGCTTCTTTTGTTAAGCCATAGCTGACCTTAATCTGTGGTTAGTTTATTAAAATAATAAAAAATACTTTGTAAGCAGAGATATTTTTTATAATAGGACTGATGTTGAAACTTGGGGTGGGGGCTGGGGGCAATTTATAAAAAGGTAGTTAGAGAAATATATTTTAGTGAACTGTAACCACAGATCACAGACTACTCCCAATGAGCTGATCTGTTTTTGGACTTCCCCCTTTCCCTGACCCGTCCCTTCTCCCCAGGAGATGGGAGTGGGCCTGTGGACACAGCACGGGGAGCTCCTTTGCATTTTGCACAAAGCCCAAGCCTGGACAGCCTGTGCTCTGGCCAGCACCATTTCTAAGAGCTTTAAACTGGAGGACCTGTCCTGGGCCAATTTTCCCTTTTCTTTAAATTTTTTTTCCTGGGGGGAAAAAATCAACTATGCAATTGTATACACTCCTAGGTGCATGTGAAGAAGGGGAATAAGTGTGCTTAAGTGTCCAGAGTGTTAACTGGGGCTACTGTTCTGTATTTGGATTTCTCCTTTGAGGTATGTACTCATAACCCATCCTGTGGAATGCAGTCCCCACATCGGATCCAGGGCAGACCTGGGCTGGGTGTGTGTGCTGGGGGAGCTCATGTTTGCCACGTGTTGCTTCTGCCCAGTAAGGAAAGTTGTCATCCCACCTCCCCGCCTCGGTGACAAAGCCAGCCAAGACTGTCCTGTCCATTGGAACTGCTCAGTTTAGAGTTTCCTTTCTCCTCAACAAACTTGAAAGTCACTTATTTTCTAAACCCGATTGTTGATTTAATCGCTTCCTGTGGCTATGAATTTTTAGGCTTTTATTTGAAAATAGACTGGTGTTAAGGAAGCAGCAAGGTCAAAGGAGACAGGTTCCAAAGGAGGGTACTTATATATTTCTGGGCAGGGCTGGGACTCATGAGACAAGGGCTCCCCTCAGGTTCAAAACTTAAGGGGGTACTGAAAAACTCAGTAATCAAGATAATGCTGTTTTAATGCAGTGTTTTTAAAAATGATTGCAAAAAACACCCATAATGAACAAAATATCAAAGTCTTAAGACAGGATCCAACAGGACTGGGATAAGGGTAAAGAAAAGAAAAGCTGAATTGAGAAAGTAGGGGGTTGAATCTTGTCTTTATTTAAAATTTTGATACTTTGTTCATTGTGGATTTTTTTTACGTTAGTTTCGATTTTCAAAAAATACTGCATTAAAATAGTATCTTGGTTACTGGGGTTTTGTGCACCCCTTAAATTTTGTGCCCTAAGCGAGTGCCTTGCTCACCTCACCTTGTTTCTGGGGTTATAACAACACCTTATGAAGTTCTATCACCTAACATGCACCCAAACAACAGGTGGCTCAAACTCACACCTTGAATTTGCTCAGCTCTCCTAGATTGCCCAGAGGCATCCATCTGTATCATAGGATTTTGGCCTGGACCAATAGGAACGGAAACAGACCAGGAGTTTTCCCAGAGAATAAAACCAGGAAAGTTTTGATTCTCCACTGGACTGCTGTGTTTGGATATGATCTGTTGTTAGATTTTAGTTAATACTTTTGTTTTTAAAAACTGAGGACAAATGAACAAAACCGGAAGCCTTGTGTCATGTTTGTTTTTGTTTGATTTATAAAGTAACCAATCCCAATTCCTTTTGACTTCTTTTCAAATAAAAAAGGTGGAAATTCTGCGGGTGGCCTAGGGGTGAGTATGGTAAAATGGGGCTTTATTTAGGCCCTATAGCTTTTTATTAAGAAATATATATATATATATATATATTTTTTTTTAATTTGGGAAGGTAACTATTGAGGCATCTTAAAAAAAACTTCATTCTAAAGAAGAGGGACCCTGAGTCAGTGGATGTTTTTCCGTAGGGATGAGTAAAGTCTGTTTTGTTTTACTCTTTGACAGGGTTGTGGCATGGGAGGGTGGTGAAAAAATTATGCCTGGGAAATTAAAACAGAACCTGGTTGGTTTGTGGTATTGGGGGAGGATGAGGAGGTGGAAGAGGAGAGCTTATAGAGTTACTGTGCTGGGGAGAAGGGAGGATGGGTACGTGATGTGCACTCAGTGAGCCACAACTCCTTAGTTAAGGAGGGGTGTGTGGGTGAAGAGGGAGGCAGACCCCATAGCCCTAGCTGAGGGGTGGTACCATCTCTCAGGCTGAAATAAGTGCACTTAGTTTCTTTAATCCAGGGCATTGGGATACCTACTGGGGTTTTTACTGGAGAGGGGAGATTTTCAGGGTTCTTAACTTTTCCCCTTTTGACTTAAGACAGTGCTCCCCCTCCACCCTCCACCCCACTGACGGAGCAGGTCTACTAGAGGTTAGGCCTCCACATTCCTCCCTTAATCTGTGCTGGTTTTATTGAGAGTTACAAGATTTAACCAAACGTCGTCCCCTCATACTGGATTCTACCAACAAGATAAAAGAATATATGAAGTGGTTTTTTTTGTTTTGTTTTTTAAGATTCAGTCTCTCTTCTGAGTGCAGATGGTGTTAAACTCAGTGCTGTACAGGGCCTGGAGGGAAGCACCCTCCCTCTCCCTTTGGCTCAGTTTCTTCTCAAGTGAAACTAAAGCTCACAGGCCAATAAAGCATGTTAGCAGACTCTACTGTACATTTGGGAGCTGATACTGAGCTGGTTCTGAATGACTTATGAGGACCTAGCTTTTGTTGTTCTTACTACTTTCTAAACAACGACATGTCTTAAGGGTCCAGTCACATTTTTTTTGTTCCCAATAAAGGAGATTCAAAGGTGACTGTCCCTGAGTTACTCAAACACCTCTGGACTCTGACCTCTTCTTTCTCCTAGGAGTCAGTGCCCCAGACACACAGCCACAGGTGAGAAGACAGAATTAGAAGCCCCTTCCTGGCCTGGAATCACTTGCACCCCAGGTTTTTCTAATTTCCTTTTCCCTCCAGGCCCTTCAACTGTAGATCCAGTGAGGCATACCGGCAGTCTGTCTCTCTCACTGTGTTGATACCGGGTCTGCAAATCAGTGTTTTGCCCCCTGTATTTAAGCTGATTAACAAAATATGACATTCCCCATTTAGACTTCCTCCATGCCACCTCCCTCCGCTGGCCACGTGGGTGAGGGGTGGTAGCAAACAGAACTGGAAGCTGGCTGGGGTGGGGAGGACCTTGGCCTCTTTCTGTGCTTATAACTGGATCTGTGACTCATGTTGTGAGTCACTCAGCTCCACCTCCTTCCTCTAGCTGCCCCTCCCAGCAGCCTTCACTCCTGGCACAAACCTGCAACCAGACCAGGATTCTGAAAATGGAAAAATCTGACACAGCCTCTTGTCTATCCACCCTTCCTTTCATCCGTTAACCTCCACTGGGTGTGTGTAGGGCGGTGAGAGGTGGCCCTCCTGTTACTTAACCCCCAGCTGCTACCCACTTTGCACTCCTGGTTAGGTGCTGATCCAAGTCTCCCTTTTTTTCTGCCTCTGACTCCCCCATTCCCCGGATGTTTTTCCCTTCTGTATCTCTGCTGCTCCTACACCTCAAAGTATTAAAGAACACTTTTGAGTGAAGGGTGGAGGCGGGAAGAAAAGTGGATAATGGATTTTTAAATTGTGGTACACACCTCTTCCTATTGCCACAGACCTTGGGAAGAATTTTCTTCCCCCATGTGACTGAGGCCCATAAAATGCAGGTGGGGGTGGGGGAGCGTGGTAGCTTTTAGGGTTTCTAGAATCAGGCTTCTGGGCCACGTTCCTAGCAGGTGTATGCTTCTTTGTTCCAGATCAACTCCCTGTCTCACAATATTTTCACTATTTCCATAGTTGCAGCCAAGACAGGGAACTTTTAAAGCTGAGGCCGGAAGGGTGTGTGTGCTGGGAGGAGAAAGTTGAGTGTCACTTTGGAAAACTGGGGCCCCCACCTAAGGACTGCTGCCTCTGTACAGACTCAAAATCAATAAAACCGCAGCTCATTAACTCTTACTTCGTATTTTATTTCCTGACTTGATCATACCTAAAAGTAGATATTTGCATTCCTACTCCCAGTCACCGACAGCTACAGTTCCTTTCCTTCCCTCCTGGTGCCTCCTCACCCCTCTTTGCTTCTTGGGTTGCCCTCCTCACCCACCTTTGCTTCTTGGGGTGCAGTTTGCAGGGTGGGGGAATGGGATTGTTGCACTGAGCAGAGGTTTCCAGCCCTCAGCTTTCAAAGTCCTTAACATGAATCATTAATTTGGAGATCTTGTGTCTGGGCTGGAGGGAGAGCTCTGGTACCTGGAGTGGGCTCTAGTTTCCGCTTGGTTGGTGTGTGTATGTGTGTTTGATGGATTAAGCGGTAAGATATTTTCCTGGGGCCTCCCACCCCCGCCCCCAGAGCTTGCATGTAAACACACCTGTACCTGTGTCTGCATCCCACAGGTATTTCCATTCCTCTCCTTACTTTTCCACGGCACCCTGCAGGATATACGGAAACACTTTAACTCGCCCCCACTCCCCAGTTTTTGGGCCTCCCCAGGCAAAAATTCCCTGAGGGCCAATTTCCATTTATTTCTTCCCAACCACTTTTGTTAGGTCTGTCGGGGAGGCCTGAACTACTTTTACATTCCTCCTACCCCCTCCCCACCCCACCCCCTTTTTAGAAGACGTAAAAAAAGCCCAGCTTCCCAGGGAAGCCAACTCTGAGAGAGCCCTGAGAAATGGCCCAAATGACTCCAGTTTAGCACTTAGCATTACTGCTCCCCTTGGTCTTCAATGATCATGAACAGGCAGAGACCAGGATCTGGGATTGGGGTAGAGAAGGGGATCTGGGTATTATCTCAGTTCCCCATTTCCCCTCACCTTTCTCAGGCTCCACTTCCTCTCCACTTTTCCAAAATTGTGTGCATTCTCCTTTAAGGGGCTGGGCATCTCTCCCGCCCTCTCCAGAGTCGACTGAAGTTTCCAGAGGAGCCTTCTCTAGCAGGCTGGACACACCTTTTGAAAGACCCCAACTTGTGCTCTGTGCACCTCAAATGCTCCTTTTCCTTGAATCCTCCCCTTGCCCCTCTCCCTGACTTCCCTCCTCTCAACTACAGGATTCAGTCTCTCTCCCCGAGAGGCTTGAGCATCCTCGAGGCTTCCCACCCTTGACCGCTCCGTAACCGGATGGAGCCAGAGAAATGTGGTGGGGGGGCCGGGGCCAGAGTTTCAACATCGCCCCCCAGAAGGAGGAGCCAGAGATGGGGGTAAGGAGAAGCAACTTGGGCTTGTGGGAGGAGGGCATTAGCAAGACTGTGTGAGTGGGGATGATGTGGAGGCGGAAAAGGGAAGAAAAGGATCTAGAAGAGAAGGAGGAGGGTGTGTCTCGTCGACCTCGGTTGAGGGAGCTTGGTCTTTTTCACAGTCTCAAGTTCATCGTCTCATTATCCATTAACCAGCCCCTCCTTTTAGTACCTGCCAACCCTGGTCCTGAGCTCCCTGCAGCCACTGATCTCAGTTTCCCCTGAGAGTCTATGAGTGTAGGCCTTCAAAGGTGGCTGCTGAAGTAACCCCAGACCCCAGGATTGGAGAGGCACGGGGATTAACCCTACACCCTTTGCAGCTCTCTGGACCAAAGTCTGTCCAGGGGAGCGGGATGCCAGAGCCCGGGAGTCGTCAGCTTGGCAGTTGCCTGGCCTCTGGATGCCTCCCAGGTAATAATGCTCTTCCAATACTTCTGATCTCCAAAAGACTTCAAACTTCGCTACGGATGCCTCTATTCTCCTCCTGGCTTGAGGTGCTTCAGCCTGAGGCTTGCTCTCTTCTCTGTCCAGGGCTGGCTGGGAGCTTGGACCTTGATAGTCCCTCTGCTTCTTTGACCTCATTACTCCTGTTCTCATTTACTTATTCAATAAATATTTGAGTGCCTACTACGTGCCAGGAGCTTTCTAGGCTCTGGAGCAAAAGAATACACATCGTCTCCTAAGCTTTCATTCTAGTGAGGTTAGGGCAGGATCTTAATCTTCCCCCTTTAGATCCTCCTGTCTGAGAGGAGTGGATGTGTGGGCAGCATTGCAGACAGTCAGACCTGACTTCCCTCCTTGCCCTGCAGGGGAGCAGATCCTAGCATGGGCCCCAGGGGTGAGGAAGGGGCTGGAACCCGAACTGCCTGGAACTCTGATCTGCACCAACTTGAGGGTCACCTTCCAGCCCTGTGGATGGCAGCGGCGTCAGGTGAGATGGTAGGACAGAGGAAAGGACAGCCAGCAGGAGGTGGGTAAGAGAGGCCAGAAGATTTAGGCAAACATTACAGGAAGTGAGATAGTGAGAGTTATGCTTAAGGGCTGTCTTCTGTGAGTATCCGGGATGGTCCAGGGGGGCGACCTCTAGGGAGGTGAGGGCAGCTGAACTAGGGCAATGAATGAGGCTTCAGGTGCCGTCAGCATCAGTCACGTGCTTCTTCTAGGAGCCTCCCCTGAGCAGTGAGTATGACTTTTCCCTGGCCAACATTGGACGATTAGAGGCTGGTAAGTGTGGTGGTTTGGCAAGGGGGCTCCCTGGGGGTGTTGGAACCCCTCCTTACCCTTCTACTCTCAGAGGACGGCCTGAGTGGATGGAGTGGGATGGGCTGGATGAGTTCCTCCCAGAGGGACCCAGATCCAGCGTTACACTGCTCTCTCACTCTTGACTTCAGTGAATGGCCTGTCTCGAGTCCAGCTCCTCCGTCCAGGGTCCCTGCTTAAATTTATCCCTGAGGAGATTCTGATTCATGGCCGAGACTTCCGGCTACTCAGAGTTGGCTTTGAGGCTGGAGGACTAGAGCCTCAGGCCTTTCAGGTGAGAGGCCTCCAACCCAAGGACCCCCTTCCCCTTAGAACCTTGGGATCTTTTCCCTGGCAATGCCCAGTAGCCCCCGATCTCCCAAGATTCCTCTCATCCATCGCTCCTCAAGGAGAGGCTAAAATGACAGTGTAATGAGAGTATTATGAGAGCAAGGGCCTGAATTCTAGCCCAGCTCTGCCAATCATCAGGAGAGTAACTGCCGGCAAGTGTCTTCCTTTGACAAACAGGGAGGGCTGGATAAGATTATTCCTAAGATTCCTCCTGGAATGAACATCCTGTGATTCTGTGGTTCCAGATGTGTTCCCCATGGCCCGTGGAAGTGCCTTTTGTTGGGCACTGTCTTCACTGTTCTCTGCTGGTGGCAAAGACAGTGGAACCACACCTGAGCCCCATTTCCCTCTTTTCACTTCTTCAGTCTGAGCCAAAGGATGGGGTGTTCTTTCTTCCACAGGTGACCATGGCCATTGTCCAAGCCAGAGCTCGGAGCAGCCAAGCCCAGCAGTATGCAGGGATAACCCTGAGCAAGGCTGGTGAGCGAGGGTGCTTTAGGGTAAGGAAAGGGTAGAGTCTGAAAAAGCAGAGGCTGGCTGCAGACAAAAGAGCTGAGAAGCTGTCTCTGGCTCCTCTTTCTCCTCCTCTGTGCCTCCCTCCTGCTCTAGGCCGGAGTTCTGGCT